ACAGAAAAATATGGTACTTACAGATGGTTTGATGGGAAACTGGGTGGAGGTGCATACTGGCTTAGTATTTTTCATTTGTGTATGAAAAATTGTCTATATATTAAATACCTAGTATTTTGGAATGGCATTTTCAGAAACTCCAGTGTATAACTTTATTTCTGCCTGTCAATCTGGAAGTGACTGTTTCTTTACCTCTGAATAGAGTTCAGTGATGTTCAAAATGTTTGGACTTCTCGTCAGTTGTTATCTCCTTCCTGTTTTCCAGCAATGTATGCAGGCAGAGAACCAGCTCGCTCGGGAGATGTAATAAATTTCAGTACCTCTTAGAAATGGGGCCTTTGGGAGTGGAGCTCTGCCCCCTTCGCACACAGTGCTGCAATGTTCAAAACTACTGTTTCTGTGCATCCTCAAAGCTTGATGAATCAAGATGCTGGGAATAGCTTTGCAAGCCTAGGATGTCAGTAACCCACTAGGAAGTTGATAACTTCTGTAACTTGGCTCTCTTTCTCTTCCCTGCCTGGCGTGAACATTTGTTTTAAGATGTCTCATAAGCTCTGGGACGCTTCCAAGAACACGTGTTTCAGGGAGGGAGTTGATGAAATTCCTGCATGTTTCTTTGTATTTCAAATATAACCCAGTGCCATTGTGAGTCTAGGCTAATGCTATTGGTAAGGGGGTTGATTGTTACAATATATGTACTTCGTGTCCCACAAATTTAAAGGCATTTTTGTAACCTTTTGGAAAGCTTCAGTGTACCCACTTTGTGCCACACACCTTTGAAGCTTAGAAGGAGTAAATCTGGGGGTCATGGTTTTGCAGTGTCTGTTGAAATCTATCCAGCTTTAATTGGGGCTGAAGTACTGAAAAACCCTCCTGCATGGTTTAGTTCATGTGCCTCAAAAAGCATCAGTGTGCCAAAGTAATATCCAAACAGCAATGCTGTAGCCTGGGACTGTGCCACACAGCAGCATGCCAAGGGTTAAACGCAAGCAGCCCACTTGGGAAGTGTGAGCTGGAAGGCAAGCTGGGTCAGGCTGCTCCCTGCTCCCAAACCCAGTACCAAACCATCATGGCACAGCCACGCTCTGGAGTGCTAATAAACTGTTCATGCAGGCAGCTATTCCCATCCATCTGCACCTTCTGGCTACAAAGTGTAGCCAGGAGCGGGCTGCTCTGGACACGCATTCTGGCAGCAGCTGGCACCCAGCTCTTTTCACCCCTGGTGTGTCAGTGGTTTATTCTGTCAAAAGTGTTAAACGGGCCACTCTGCCTGGTTCTGTATGGCTGTGGGTATATTGGTGCTGCAAACCTGGGGCATAAGCTTTGCTGCTGTTTGGTGAGATAAAGGGTTGTGGAGAATCAAAATCCACTTTTTCTTCTGTTAGCCCCAGTTCAGAGCACACATATGGAGGCAATTGAAGAAACCCTTTATGGAGCATGCGAAAGCTGAAGTACTGAAAATTTAGGAACAGGTCGCTGTAGTGGAAGGCTGCATTGTCTGTCCCAAGCTGCTGTGGTTTAACCCCAGCCAGCAACACACCACACAGCTGCTCGCTCCCTTCCCCCCACCCAGTGGGATGGGGAGAGAATCAGGGGAAAAAAAACCAAAAACTAGTGGGTTAAGATAAAGACAGTTTGATAGGACAGAAAGGAAGAAAATAATAATGATTATAATAATAATAATAAAATGACAATAATAATAAAAGAATTGGAATATACAAAACAAGTGATGCACAATGCAATTGCTCACCACTCACTACTGCCCAGTTAGTTCCTGAGCAGCGATCTGCCAACACCCCCCAGTTTATATACTGGGCATGACATGATATGGTATAGAATATTCCTTTGGCCAGTTTGGGTCAGCTGCCCTGGCTGTGTCCTGTGCCAGCTTCTTGTGCCCCTCCACCCTTCTTGCTGGCTGGCCATGAGAAGCTGAAAAATCTTTGACTTAGTCTAAACACTACTTAACATGCTGATGTTGATAGCAACAACTGAAAGCATTATTTTCATACTGAACCCAAAACATAGCACTATACCAACTACTAGAAAGAAACTTAACTCTATCCCAGCTGAAACCAGGACACAAGCTTTCTGGGTGCCTGTGTTACTCTGGGTTGGGCCCTGGTTCGCAGAGGTGCTGAGCTCTGTCAGAGATGCCAGGGAAAGGGAGCTGGTCCACCAGGGAGCGGGGGTGTTTGACTTCCTCAGTTTTTCAGGCACCACCAGTCCATAATCTTACCCACCCAACCCTTGCCTGGGCCACCTCCAGCAATCTTTAAAGCCATGAGCACTGTCTAGTAGCTCTCTCCAAAGCTGCAGGCCCTGAGATGCTCTGTTCCCCTGAGGCTACCTTGCAAAGGATAGTTCAGGGGGTCTTCCAGGGGAGCTGGGGTTGCTCAGAGATGCTCAGTCAGGTTGAGGGTGGAGGGTATTGACGTTCTGGCTGCCTGATCCAGATCTTTTTTCATCTATTTCCCCAACACATAAACAGGGTTTTTCTGTCACGGTGAAGGTGACATTTTAAAATACTTGTGATGTTCTTGGATGCTGTGATGTCAAATGACCTAAGGAGGTGGGATAAAAAAGAGGATGTGACTAATTCTGCAATCTCTTCCCTGTGTGAAGAGGACAAGTCAGGGACAACTGACTGAACACACTTATCAGCTGCTTCTCTTCTTTTGCCAAGTGGCCTGTGGAGGTGACAAGGAAACCAATCTGCAGTTGCGTAGCTGTGCATCTCCTCCTGAAGCCCTTGCGTGAGGAGGCCAAGTCAGGGTTCTGTAGGTCACTGATGCAGTGGTATTTCCAAGGCTTTGAGAGCACTAATGCAGTGTAAATGAGTGCTTGTTTCTTGTTGGCTAGCTGATTTTTTCACATAACTCAAACCTTGTCAGTGTAGGTGGTACTTTATGATAGAAGGGGAACCAAACAGTGAGCTGCTGCCTGGTCCAAAAGGGTTCCTGGTGCAATGGCCACATGTGAGTACAGCTCAGGAGAAGGGGAAACAGAGGGAACGAGCTCTTTTTGCTGCAGTCAGCAGAAAGATACTGTGTGTGGCGCCTAAGCAATTCCAGGTACCTCCTGTGGTGTTAGGGAAGTTGTCCTCTGCTCCTGAGTTTTGGCAGCTGCTGTGGTAACAGTAGCTTTTCCCCACAGCTCTCTACCGTTGCCTGGAGGGGTGTGTGTTAAACTGCTGAGAATATTTCTGGTGCTCAAGTGGGTCCTTGCAGTTTAGCAAGAAAGCTCTCTCCTGGGCTGCAGGTGAAGCAGGGCATGTGTCTATGTGCCTGAATGTGAAGTGTGTCATGAGTCTGTTGCTTCAGCTGATCCCAGCTGACCCTAAGTGTTGGACAGGCTTAAAGCAAAAGCAAGTTTTAGCCTCAAAAGGTGAAGGGTTAAAACATTGGTTACAAAATGGGAAATTATTGCAGAAAGGAAAACTAAAGAAACACAGAAGAGGCAACAGTTAATACTCATGAGGCATGGGACAGTGGCTTCTCTGAAGCTTATTTAAGAATAAATCTCCTCAAGAACAAAGTCTTATTGAAAAGCTGCTGCTTAGACCCCTGTTAACCTTCTCTCAAGAAGTAAATTGAATTGCAGTTATAAAGCTGGCAGAACTCACACCAGAGGGTTTTTGGCTTCGCTCAGCACTTCATCTCAGGGTTTACTGGTATTTACAAGGCAATACCTATGATGCATTCACACATGTGATCAGGTTCAAGGGTCACTTGCACTGCAGCAATGTGGCAGATTTTTCCACACTAGAATGAATCTCTGAAGTTTTCTTTTGCTTCTCAAATCTTGCCCAAAATCCAGTCACTTGAACTTTGCCCAGCTGTTTCTCGCTGTTTGTCCCACAGTAAGTGGGACACTTAGAGGCAGAAGGTGGGAATGCATGCTCCAGGGTTTAAGGGCAGGCCTGGATCACCATGCTGTGATGGAGCAGGGTGGGTGGGTTGGCTGGTTTTCCATGCCCCAAAATATCTCAAGAGGGATCTCTGATGTATTTTCTTTTGTGAAGTTTGGGAAGCTGATGTGGATTTAAAGGGAAAAAAAATCTGTATTTCTCTTTTTTCAGCCAGGTAGATAAGTAGCATCAGTGGGAGGTGTTGGGGCTGATCTGTAGGGTCACTGTGACCTGCTAGAGGAGAGAAAATTCTAAGCAGTACAAATATTCTGTTTTCAGTGCAGTTTCCTCATTCATGGTTTGTTGTTTTTATTTGAATGGCTATTGAAAATTCTACAAGAAAATTTCTGGCACGTGCTGTGTCTATACCTGTTAGTCAGGATAGGGGAGATGCAAAGAGAAATGTAAAGTGCCTGCAGCACTCCAGACTTCACATAGGTAAACAGAGGGTTTTTTAGAAATGTCTTTGTAATATAACTAATTCCTTTTTGAAAATAGGCTAGAATATTTGGTCCTACTGCAGCAAAGCTCTGTTCCCCATAGTGTTGATGGTATATCTATGCAAAATAGCTAAAATCAGTGTGCTCTTAGAGGCTTCCAGGGTGCCTTATGGGGCATCTCTGTACCTTGACATTGTACCCATAGTACAGTGGGGTGTTTGCATTCTTCATTAGTTTCTGTAGGAGGTCTCATGTTTTTTCTGTGTCAGGCTAATAGGAAAGCCTAGTTGTTAGGTTCCCTCCAGTCTCTAGTGAAACAGCTGTGGGGAAAAGATAGCACCAAGGATTTTCCGGGCCCCTCTCATGTGGAATCTCTGTTGTGTCACTGTTCAAAAATATCACCAGTTTGATGCCTGCCAGCTAGATTTTACTACTGGGATAACAAGCAGTATTTAGCAATCGCAGAAGACACATCAGAAGTGAAACTGAACAGTGTTCTCTGCCATTGTGTAACAGTCTTTCTTCTCGGTTTTGGTAGTTTCTTAATTTAGTGGGTGTTCGTAGGTGGAAGTCTGCCTATGTGCCGTATCTATTGTGCAACAGATGTCTTCCTCTGAGATATCCTCCATGATGCTTTCTTTTTTTTCCAGATTGTCCCCAGCCACCACAGCCTGAGAATGGAGGCTATAAATGCCACCCTAGCCCCTGCAACAACCCTCTGACTTCAGGCAGTGTTATAGAGTATCTGTGTGTCGAAGGCTACATGCTGAAAGGAGATTATAAATACTTGACCTGCAAGAATGGAGAGTGGAACCCAGCCATGGAAGTCAGCTGCAGGCTCAGCCCGGGTGAGTGCTCCCTGACTTCAGTGGGACAGTCAGAATTGCCCTTACACTGGCTTTTGAGATTATCCTTAAACACTGAGTCAGTGTGATGCTGAGGAAGTCTATACAGCTGCCTCTCATTGCTCCAGCAATTTCATAAATGCGGCTCACAGTCACAGCTCTTTAATAAAGACGTCTCTTCTGTAGCAGCCCATCAGATGCAGGCTGAGAGTCCCTCACACAAGGAGACAACCCATGGAAAGGAGTATAAAGGAGGCAACTTGTTACTTATGTGGAGCCTCTTATTTTGACAGTGTCAAAAATTTCTCATCCCGGAAATGGGGGAGGCCCTAATTGAAGCATTTTCTATGCTGTCTGGTTTTGCTTCGGATGGGTTTGATAGTACATCTCCCTCAGTGGTGTACCTATCTGTCCACATGTGTGCATGTGTGTGTGAGTATGTAGAGCTGATCTTCCTTGTGAACAGCTTAAGTAACTGTTGGCCTCCTGTGCAAAGAGCTCAATGGTGCTGCTTTTCACTGTACTGGCAGGAAAGAACACTGCTGACAAATGATTTCTGCTTCTGTCCACATGGAAGTGGACAGCTTTTGTTTTGTGGCTCTCTCCCAGCTAAACAGGAATTTCTCCATCAAAGCGGGAAAGTAAAGAAAAGTTTGCAGGAAGATGTTCATAATACAGCTCTTAGTTTGCCTACGGCTCTTCTGGTTTTAAAAGTATGCATACTGTATAAAGGGAGAACTCCCTCCCCTCTTCAAGTTTGGCTTATTGATAGAGTCTTGCTGCTCAGTTATCAGTGAGATGTACACTCCAGAATTAAGTCTCGTTATCCATAAAGCGAAATGTGTTAGCTTAATTGGAAGGAAACAGAAAAGCACTTTCTTCAAGCTCTTTATGGAGCTCACTGCATACCTATGATCTCTGGAACGTCCTGTCCTGTCTCAAAGACACTGTCTTCTCAGTGTCTCTGTCATAGCTGCTCCAATAGCCCTTTCCTATGATGTGTAAGGAAGGGAACTGGGAGTTTACCTGGCAGCAACTAGATCCTGAAGAGGCTTTTCAAATTCAGCATAAGCTTCCTTTACACAGTGGTCGATCTTCCCCTTGCTGCACCCAGGCTGGAGAACAAAGCTGTGCTATTGCAGATAGTGTTCCCTGGGTGGCATTCCTGCATGGTGGCACTTGGTCTATATCAGAGTTGAAGGGATTGTGTTGTGATGAGCAGAAACCCCTCAAATTTCTTTAGCATTCTGAAGGATTAGTGGCCTTATCAAAAATATGGAGCCTTAAAAGTCTGGCCCACTGAAAAAGGTATTGCTTTCACAGCATGGACTTTGAAACAACTGGTCAGGGTCAGAGACGGCTGAGGTTTAACTAGCATGTCTCTTTCACAGGGCTAAAAGGAGGAGGAGGAGGTGGGAGACTGTAGAGAGAAAGACAGTAGGTCTTAAAATGATTGGTAATGGGTAAGATCCCACCTGCTCCATATAGAGTACATGAAATCCCTAGCAGTTATCAGCTGTTTTGTGTAGCTCTGAGCCTGTCAGCCCCATAGCCTTTTGAGAGTTTATTGTATGAGTTAGTGAGCATCCTGTTGGAATATGAGACAGTGAATGTGCTGGAGCGTAGCCTGGGTAGTGAGCAGTTTTACAGCATTGTGTACTGATGCTGAAAATGGATCTCCCTTTTCCTTGTCAGTGTACTCAAAGTGCCCTGATTAATGCTGAAAATGGGAATCCTTACTCAACCCTATTTGCCATTGGGAAAAAATGTACCAGACGTTGTTGGGGTTTTTTTGGGTTTTTGGTTGTTTTTTTTTTCCCTGGGGAGAGGTCAAGCTACTTCTGAAAAATTTCAGGAGAACACATTCAAAACAACTAAACCAATAGGTTTGACCCCAAGAGAAGATGCAGAAAATGCAGACTGCCTTTCCCGCTTACATGCCTGTTTTGGGCATAGATTTCAGTCTGCAGGCTTAAAAACAGTGGTCCTCCAGCTTTTTTCTTCTGTTTGCATGCTCTTCTTCCCCTCATCCCTAACTGCATGTGTGTCCTGCATTCCCCCTGCAGTTTGAGACCTGTGCTCCCGAAGAATGTGTTGAATATAGCAAAAAGGGATTGAGGAATTGCATGCATGGGAATGTCCTGAATGTGAAGTGCACAATAGTTTTTGCCGATGGGGAGGTGAGGTTTTTCAGATCTCTACCACAGACATAAATTAGGGATAGAGGCAACACACATAGTTATTTGCACCAGGGAGGTGAAAGGACTAGTGTACATTCTAAGCATGATATGCAGTGCTCAGCAATACCAGTTCCAGGCCGTTCTCACTCCACTCCCAATTTATTTCTGTCTTGCAAGGGACCTGTAAAAGCCAAATTGGTTCCTGTACAGTTACACTGCACAGCTGAGGAAGGGTAGGAAGGGGTAATGTGAACAGGGCACATGTATCTAACACTGAAAACTCAGCATCCTGAAGCAACAGCTGCCTTCCATCTCTGTTCCCTGGCATAAGTTCATGTGAGAGAGGAACTGAATACTTGCTGCATCTTAAATATACCCAGCCAGGTGACTTCCACCCCTTCCTTTGGGAGGCTGTTCTATTAGCCAAGAAGTCCCATTATTTGGAACTTTTCCTATTGCTTGGCCTAAAATATCCTGCTTATTGTGCTAGACAATTATTGGCCTTGCTGGTGACATCAGGACATTTTTCAGCTTTTGCTTAGCCAGATCTATATATAACATGACCCTTACCACCATCTGTCAGTTCCCATGGCCTTCTTGTGCTGCTTTTCTGTTTGCCTTGTGTTTTTCCAAAGGACCCTTGTATGTGCATGTTTTATTTTAGGTTTCCTTTACAGCTGATGGAGAGGTGTCAGCTTGGGCTCTGAACTGTGTTCTATAAGAATAGCTGGTGTGCCTTGACTGTATGGCAAACTTGGGTTCCTCACATGTGCACCCAAGTGTAACTCCTGAGAGCAGGCAATGTGGATGTTTTTCCTTCTCTATGGCAGTGATTTAAGGGACTGGATCATTTTACCTTGTGTTCCTCTTGGTTTTGTAGAAAAGGACTCTCCTCCAACAATTGGAGTACCCACGCTGTCCATAGTAGCCTCCACAGCAAGCTCCGTCGCCCTCATTCTGCTCTTAGTTGTGCTGTTTGTTTTGCTGCAGCCAAAGCTGAAGTCTTTCCATCATAGCAGGTAAGTATAGCTGGGGTTTGGAGGGGCTCAGAGGCATCCTCTTTCTTTGCAGCAGAAACCCATTAAGGTACTTGGTTCAGGCCTTCATTTTGGAGCAATATAACCTCCTTGCTTCTCTGCTCCTGTTTTAATCACCTCAGTGGCACCTCTGCCCCATGGTCTGGCAGTAGTCTGAAATGGTGGTCTGCAATAGCCAGCTGCAGTCCCCATTCTAACATGCCATCTGATGAGTGGCTTCCTTGCTTTTTTTCCTTGGCTTTGAATGTGAAAAGTTATGATCCCTACTAGCCTGCCTATAGATCAGTCTCCTGCCTCTTCTAGCCTTGGATAGCTACCAGTGTGTCTGGATATGTATATGCCATCCCCCTCAGTCTGTCTGTGAGATCCTACAGACAGGAATTCAGGCAGTACTGCTGATTAGATATACTTGCAAATCTGCTATCCTTCCCTGCTGTGGGAGGAGAACCCTCCTGGCCTGGGTTTGTGGATGAGAGAAGAGACCCAGCCATAACACTGCTGCCAGCTGAGGTCAACAAAGTCACTGTGGACTCTTCTGAACCAGCTACTAGTACTCCTTAAATAAGAGCAGAGACATGGCTGTCCAGCAGCGGGGAGGTTGAGAGGTGGGGCTTTGGAGTCTGGCCTTTTCTGAAGAAGTCCAAACCACTGGAAAAGAAAAATTCAATCTCAGGCCTCTGACTCATGAGCCTAGGTGATTCACACTGTGTCAGTTTAAGAGCTGTCTGCCCCACCCCACCAGAGGTTATCTGGCCAGCAGCAAAGGTGGCAGAACAGGCAGTGCTGGGTGTTGCAGAATATAGCAGTGTAACAAGCTGAAATCGGTGGCGGTCAGAGCTCTTTTTTTAACTGCTGGCTGTGACAGCAGAGGGCTTGGAGTCATGATCTGTGTCAGATTTAGTTATGGAGGCAGGTGAGGTGGGAAGCATTGTAACCTTTTCAGCTCTTGTGGCTAAATCCATCAGGCACGGTGAATTACAGCCCCTGCTCATGTTTATGGCAATTCACAGTAGGGCTGCAAGGCTATGCTTGCTTGACCTTGTTAAACCACCATTCATGTTTCTGTCTGTTCTTCCCTAAATAAGTCAATGGTGAGCATTAGAGTTCTGCTGTGGGAGGTTACTGGAGTTCTCTGTAACGTATATATATAAAAATATAAATGCTAACTTGACTCCCCTCTCTCCCCCCCTTTGTTTCTTTTTTTGAGGCGAGACCAAGGTGTGTCTGGAGATCAGGTCTCTATTATGGTGGATGGTGTCCAGGTGGCCTTGCCATCCTATGAAGAAGCGGTGTATGGGAGCACAGGGAACTGCATTCCACCCTCGGACTCCCGAGTGCAGATCGTGCTCTCGGAGGGAGCTGGGCAGAACGGAGCCGGAGAGATACAGCAGCAGGACCAAGGGGCTTGCAATAGCTTTGAAAGAGAAGATGAAGCCCCTGGACATTCTGGACTGTGTGAAGCCAGTGGCTCTCAGCGCTCTGAAACTGTTCTTGTGCATCAGGCTGCTACCTCTTCCTGGGTAGCTGGCATGGCTAGCAGTAGACCTGTACACAAAGAGGTCCAAGATTCAGAAAGCAGCGACATACAGAGCCTTTTATCACTCACTTCCTCCGAGGAATACACAGATGGTACGTGACTTGGGCAAGGAGTGCTGAATGAGACCCTTGTAAGAGTAGGTTCTGCAATTGACTACCTAGGGTGGAAATGGCAAGGAATGCCCCTATGTATGTCAGGCACCAGAGGAGCTTTTGAAAAGAGGTGTCCCAGTCTTCATGGCATGTTTCACAACTTAGATGTGCAAGGAGTATTTAATACCTTCTTCTGAAGCATGTGGCACTCCCCAACTGGGAGGCTAGGGCAGTCTGGAAAGACTATTGGAGTTCTGCTGCTCACTCTTGTTGTCTTAGCAAAGGATTTGCAGAGAAATGCCAGCCTCCAGCATCATAGTGCAAATGCAGTAAAATAGCTGTGTTTGTGAAAAACAAGTTGGTGGGAGTGGGAGGATACGCTTGGAATACAAACCCTTTGTGATGTTTGGACTTCTTCATTCTTAGACTGCTTTAGTAAGCAGCTTACTGCTACAGTGCATACAGTGCCACAGCCTTGGCATGTGGCAGAGAAGACCTAAAAGGGATGTGGCTGAACTTACTGTACAGGGCAGAAGGGCAAGTCTGTTAAGCAGTCAGTGCATCTTGCATTCTTTACTGCTGTTCTGCCCTGAAGGAGTGGCTTTACAATGCCAGAGCTGATGTGAAGCTGCAGATTAAGGTTGCTTCTGCAGAGAGTGCTGTGTCTTAGGCAAGAAGTGTAACTGGCTTGTAGGTAGCTCAGGGCAGAACTTCCTTCCATGGTGTCGAGCCCTAGAGCCATAGTAATGCCACCCAGAACGCCCGCAGTAAAAACAGTTAAAGGGGATTTCTGCTAAAGGGCGGAAGTGGCAACGTGTCCTGAGATGGGCATTAAACCTCAAGTGCGTAAACAGCAGAAATCCAAAAGTGAAACTTAACAAAAAACGTCTGTAGTGTAGAAATTGGAGGATGTTGCCTCTGCACTGTGTCATTTTTGTCACTGCCAGGAAACATGTATTGCCCCTAAGGCTTGTACAGTAGCAGATTGCCCCTTGCAGCAGGAGACCATGAAGCTTGTGCTTATGGCTCAAAGATGAGGAAGCTGCAGCTACATGAGGAGGTTGCATTTCTTTGAATTAGATAAGGGAAGGTGTGATCCTTGTATTTGCAACCATCCCTGTCACAGTAAGAAACGTGTCTTGGACATTTTGAGGAACTAAAAGGTTGATAAAGTCATGGGAAAGAAGGAAACTGTCATTCTTAAGGGAAGTTATTACCTTCCCCTAAACCACATTGGTGAGGCTTTACTGTATCTTGTTGTGGGACCCCCAGTTCAAAAGAGATGTTGGAGAAACTGGACAGGCTCTGTTGGAGGCCTGCCACCATAGCTAGGGGCTTGTGAGGAGTGACTAAGGGAGCTGGGCTGCTTTAATTTGGTGAAGAAGCAGCTGAGGGCCAAGCCAACAATTAATTGCAATTACTTTACAGGGAGTTGAAAAGGCTATGGAGCCAAACTCTTCTCAGCCAGATGATATAACATGGGGCAGTGGCCACAAGCTGTAACTTCACAGATTCAGATAGAGCATTAGGAAAATATTTTGCACTAGGAGGGTAGCGCAGGACCAGATGGGCACCCAGAGAGGTGGTGGAGTCTCTGTCCTTGGGACTTTTTCAAGGCTGCAGCTGGCAATGGTCCAGCTCGCAGGGGCATGTTGGAGCAGAGTCCTCCAGAGGTCCCTTCTGCTGTGTTGTGATGACAGGAAGACCACTGCATTATCTTGTTATGGAAGTGGGAGCCTGTCTTGCTTTCAATAGTAGTTTTTCTGGTGTGTGTTGAACTGCAGAAGTTTGACTACTTTTTCTTTTTTTTTTCTCCCCCCACCGTTCAGATATTCCCTTATTGAAGGAAGCATGAGGCCTGCTGTGTTTGCCTAGCCTTCTCCCTCTTGGATTTCTTCCTCTTCCCCTCCCCCTGCCTTCAGGACAGAAGCACTCTGTGCAGCCTTCCCCATCCTCGCGAGCTGTGTCCTGGATACCTCCAAGCAGAGATGCCCTCAGCTGAAGATCCAAAGGATGTCGCCAGGTTGCCTCCTGGATGCACCAGTGGAGTTGGTGCAGCGCTGGCTTCCCCATTCCATCAGCATCAGGGGCTCAAGGAACAGAGTGGATTTGAGCTCTCCCCTCCTCTTCCCCAGCCAGATGTTTGACAGCAGTCTCTGAAGAGCTGCTCTTTTCTCGTGCCTTTCTCCTCCTCACACCGGCTTGTTGCAGCTTATCAGCCTCTCTAGCCCTTCTGCTGCCCAGAGAGCAGGGGCTAAAACCGCTTGCTCACTGGGTGCAGACACAGTATATATATATATATACGCGTATGTATGTTATATAGGCTCTTCTTCCGGCATCCTGTTTGTGGTAAGGCAGGACAAAACGCCTCGCTGGGACTGAAGCTGGGCTTGGGAGTGATCCCAGTTAAGGGGCAGCTTGTGATGTCTAGAAGCGCCTCAGATGGGATGGGCTGTGTGACAACTTAGCTGTGCAATAACAGTTTGTTGAGAATTGCTAGAGCGCTGAAGGCTGAGAAGTCCAACGTGTAGGAATGCCCCCTGCACCCTTCTCAAAAACCATCTCAGCAGGAGTCCATTCCTGAAAATCACTTCCTTCTCTACCTGTGCAGCCCATTTGATTATTCTGTGTTTCTAGAAGCTGGGACTGGGACTGTACTACCAATAGAACAATCCTTTCAGCTTTGGTCTGGTGCCAGAGCAGCTTCTGGTGTTAGATTGTAGAAGAGCCTTGGAGAATGGCCAGTGGTTGGCAGGGTCCAGAAAGCTTGGAGAGTGTGACTTTCAGTTAACCAACCCTGTGTTAACTACGAGTTAGCCCCATTCACTGAGGCATCAGGACTGGAACCAAATTTGTATCCCTGCTCTTCTGAATAAGCTGTGTGTCTCAAAGCTTTTTCAGTTAAGGTGGTTCCGCACTAAAGCTTAGGTTCCTTTGGTCAGATCTTCAGGCAGAGGTAACACTTTTGAGATGTAATCTGGAAGTGGTTCAGGTGTTTGCAAATGTCAACAGAAAAAATGCCCATAGGCAGTGAATGCTTAGTGCCGTTGGTGCAATCCCAAATGACCTTTCCAGCCACACAGGTACCTTGGTACTTGAATCCTGGGTAGCTACCATCTCAGAGGCTAGTGTGTCTTCCTAGCTTCATACAGCAAGAGTCTGCTGTTTTATCTTAATGGGCTTCAGTGGGCCCACAGTGAAGGGCTTCTTCCTTGTGGCTGGGAGTAAGCAGCATTTATAAAGTTTCCTAAATAACAATGCAGTTGCCTTTTGCTGTGAGGGGAGGTTGGCTACATTGACAGCAGTGCCAGAGGGGACCATAGCTTATTCCTGAACCTAAGTTTCGAAGATTGTTTCAAGTTCTGGTAGCAGGGAAAGGAAAATCCAAAAATACGTATACCTCTGCCCCCCACAGTTATCTACAGCAGGTCAGAATATCCTGGTTGCTGTTAACAGGTCTCTCCTTTTGCAGGAAGCCACATTTGTCTGGGGTAGGTGATCCGATCACAAAAGCATTGTGGTGATTGTAAGGCTCTTCACTGGGGAGGTCTGGACACTGTTCTGTGGGATTGGTTTCAGCAAGAAGAGTTGGCTTCTTAGGTGCGTGTACTTTGTCATAACTGTCTTGAAGTAACCAGGGAAGTGTTTGCCCTGTGAGAAGCTGCTAAATTTTTATTTGAGTTGAAGGAGCAAAACGTCATGGCCTTACACATCATGTGGTAATGTACAGGTAAATAGGGATGCTGTCTTTGCTGCTTTGCTTTTGGTTTACAAACCTCACCATCCTCATCCTTGTTGCTCCAGGAACATACCATCACAGCACTTGGTAAAAGTGACACAACACCTTTATATATAAAATCACTGTGGCTTAGCTCCAGTTCCTGAAAATGGGGATTGGCCATAGTATCCAGCCACGTACCTGCTGCTCCTGTTCCTGATTAGCTGTTAAATCCCAGGACACCTGGGACAGCGCGTGCCTGTGGATGGAAGAATCCTATTTTCCCTATCCTTGTTTTAGAGGGATGTTATTAATTTTAAAATACAGTATTTTAAACTTCCTTCCCTATTGCTCATGTTACCTTGCAGTAACACAAGGATTTGATAAATCCCATTTGGGTGGTTTAGGTATTTTCTGTTCAGTTTGGATGGTGAAAATCCCACATCATTTTACAGAGGGCTGCAGTGTCTCAGCTTCAAGCACTGTAGAGGGCAAATGTTGTTTACCCATCTGCTATTGGAATTTTAGAAAATAAGCATGGGAATGTTTGTATTTAGTTTTTAATTCCTACCTTGGAAATGGTCTAAGCTTGAGCAAATTGTCTCATTCACTAGTCTATCGGGGCGGATGGAAGGATTGAGCGAGTGTTGTACTAAGGGAGTGGGGAGGGAAGACTACGTGACTTCTTTCCTGCTACCTAACCAACTTGGAGCAGGAGAGTTGCTCTTTATGCATTTAAGGTCCTGTCTACTCAAATTGACCCTCAGCAATCAAGGTGCAGAAGTCAGGTACAGGCTGTCCTCCTGCAAGGGACAGTCCTTTAACTCAGTGTTAGCACCGGGTTGGTGGGAGAATCCTACAACGAAGCTGGAAGCTGATCCCAAGGCCTGACCTTACCCTGGACGAGTGCCTGCTCTGCCAGCAGAAACCACGTACCGTGTGGCTCTGCCTCCTCTCTCTGCTATTGTAAAGCAAGCAGATGCCAGTTTGGGAAAGAAAATTCAATTGGGTGGGGAAGAGAAGGAAGCAAGCTGCACAGAAGAGGGAGTGCTTTTATTTTGTTTCATGTATAGAAATTGTGGGAAATGGCTTTACTAAGGACAGGGGAAATGCATATTTTGCTCCACCTCCGCCAGCGTAGATCTTGTGATCAGGCATAAACAGGCAGCTTCTGTTGGCTTGCTGAGGATACACCAGCAGCTCCCAGGCCAGCCTCTGCTGTGCTGGCTGGTAACCCCAGCTGATGTTTCCGGCGCTTGCAGAAGAGCCTGTCCCCTGCAGCAACACTTGTGGGAGCAGGCACCAAGGACCTGTGCAAGCCAGAACATGGAAAACTGTTTGGGGGCATCACATTCCTCTTGCCCACATCCTCAGCTTTAGAGTTTATTTTCATATAAAATGAGGTAGAATGGCTGGGAAGGAACCTGAGAGATGTCTGCTTTACAATTTTTTTTTTTCTAGGGGGAGGGGGAGCAAGGCCTCACTTTACTGATTATCAAGTGATTGTTACTCGTTCGTGTTTTAATCCTGCGGAGGCTGAAGGATTGGAAGGTCTTTTGGGCAGAGATTTAGGAAAAACTAAATTGCACAGATCTGTCTTTACTAATGGAGCAAGGGCTGAGGCTTAAAGATCCCTCAGTCGTGAGCTCTGCTCTCTCTCAGGAGCATTCATTACCTCTGAGCAAAGAGTGTGTCCTCGTTGGCTGTTGCCATAAGTAGATGCAGCCTGCATCTCAGTGTGGTGGATTGGGAGCACAGGGGCTCAGCCTTGCAAGATACCACATAGTAAATGTTTTGGGTTTTGTTTTTTTGTTTCTTTTTTTTCTGATTGGGCCACAGCCTCCTTACCTTTTTTCCCACCTATGTCTGGCTAAAGAATTCAGAGGGAGGCATGTTTTCTTATTTAACACTCCTGACATAATCATCTCATGCTCTGTCATACATGCTGGATCCTGTGATATTCAAGAACATTAAAATGATTTACTTACATTGGAAAAATAAAAATAGCACTTATTTAAAAGGTTTATGTTATTTTTGGAGTCTGATAGGTTAAAAAAAAGGGCATTTCAGAAATTCAGAGTATTATGTGCAATAGCAAAACCTCCTTGCTCCCTCTCAGTTACATAGTTGGGTTTTTTTTTTTAAATAAATAAAATGCAACCTACTGCAGTGTTTACAGCCCAAGCGCTGCAGAACTGGACCGGCCTGATAGAACCAGAAAGCGAAGCTGACAGTAACCCATGGGGAAGCAGGGCAGTCTCCTGTCAGGATCTGCATCCTGAAGCTCAGCTCACAGGATGAGCCATCTTGGATTGTGTCAGAGCCTACTGCCACCTTGAAGGGGGTTGGCAGCATTGGTGAGAGAGATGGTTTTGTGCGTTCTGGTTTTAAATAGCTTGCATCTCCCCATCATTAACTGCAGAAGAGGTAAAAAATGAAATCGGGAGGAGAGACGTGCTGCAGCATGTGAGCCTGTGGAGTTGTTGCTGAGTTAAGACTTCATGAGTTTGGGAGGGAGAAGAGCTTAATGCATTTTTATCCTTTTTCTTAACCACCAGGGAACTTGCTGTGTAGAAGAATGCTTACTCAGCAAGCATGCTGCTTGTTCACCCCTTGGACGTCTCCCCTCAGGTTTCTCCTTAGCCTTTCAACTCTGGGGTGGTGAATCGTTTAATGCATCTGGAGCCTTTATTTGGCCTTTCAGCACATGGAGAAGTCAGGTGTGTTAGGAAGAAATCTGTTCCACATGATTTGGGAGGAAACATCCTAAGATGCTCCCAGAGGTAGATGACGGGTCAGTACTGAGGAGTGGGGCTGAGAGCGCAACAGGCTCAGCCATTGGAAATAATCTGGGATGGTGAAGTTATCTGCAGCACAGAAAAGGGAACACAAGGAGGAGGGTAAGGAAGAGCTGGACTGAAAACAGAGGTATGCTGCAGGCTAATGAGCTAATGCATTCTTGACCAGGTTGTAAGAAGCTTGTGCTTTGTTTAGATGATTTAGCAGACACCAGCAAGCTTGCTGTATAAAAAAAAATATTAATGTACAACTGGTTGGCCACTGAGATTTCCTTGCTGGCCTTTTTAGAACATATTTGCAAAACCTGGTTTTACTGTTCTGATAGCAGTTGTTTAAAAAAAAAAAAAAATCTGCCTTACTCTATCCAGACAACTAATTAAATCAATTTCACTTTCTGGTTTCTGCATATAAATGCAATAAATCCCATTCATTTTGCACATCCTGCCTCACCCCATCCTCACTCGTCAGTCCTTACCAGGGAACTGCAGATTGAACTTGCTCTTTGTGAAAACCTTTGTCTGTAGAAGGACTTCATTAGAAAACATTCATTCTCTATGATACGCTTTGAAAGTACAGAGAGGTTTCCTAGAGCAGGCTTCATTTTAAGGTGTATTTTTATACAGGAAATAAGCCTTTTTCCAATCCTTCATCCACTCCTCCTGCCCTTCCACAGCAGGACAGAGCACACCACTTCCCACACTTCTTTTCAGGGCCCTGTGTTGAGCACTGCTTCCAAACTCGACCCTGTGCAGATGACGTACGGATATACGTACCCACCAGAACAGGTTCTACTGATGCTCTGCATATGCTTTCTGTAAGCTGTGCTTTTGCTTCTGTCCTCGAGTGAGCAAGGACAGAGGCAACTGAGTTGTGCTGGAAAATGTTTTAGTTCTGATTCTCAAATCTGCTTCCTTCCAAAAGAAAACAAGGTGAAGTTGTCTGTGAAGCAGATGTCCTATGATGTGGTGGGTAGACTGCTGGTAGTTGCTGATGCAAATGCAAGGGGAGCTTGATTGCCTTTGTGCATTAATCTTTTCTTCTTTCCTGTATGCGTTTTCTTTTTATCTGAATTGCACCACTATGGAATTATTTGCAGAATGGTACTCCATATATATGTGGGATTTAAAAACAAAACCATAATTGACGCTGTGCAGGATGTCACTCAATTGGTTTTATTTTGCTTTATATATATTTTCTGGTATCCTGTACATTGCAGTGGGTGTGAAGATAGTATTTTAATATTTGTACAAAGTTTAATTTAATTGTTCTATGTATATAACTGCATTTCTAAATTAAAAAAAAAAATTTCTTTTGAAGTGAAACTATAATCTCTTGTGTATTTTCTTTAATTGCTTGAGCCTTGTGGACTGGAAATCCAGCAGATCATTAGTGAATATGTTGCAGTAGTGCAGTGCCTTCCATGTGAAGATCAGGATGAAGCTGAAGCTAGGGATGCTCAAGTGGCTTGGGGGAGGACGGACAGAGTTGGTGCAGCCTTAGAAAGATCATCTGTTTCCGACAATACCTTCCATTCTCAGAAGCAAAGGCCACCCTTGGTGTGCCTGCATATAACTCCATGAGAAATCGGGCCAGGTTGGTTCAAGGGCCATTCTGGGAGGGCTGTGATCACTCAAGTGCCTCCTGGACCTGTTGTCTTGGCTGATGTTCATGGCAGTCGTTTTTAGCAGCTGCTCCTCAGCCTGCCCAAGAAGTCTCCTGATCGAATGTGCAGACTTGCTGCATGAGGCTGGGCGAGGTATTTGTTTGCCTTTACTTTCTATAGCACTGTGTGCACGCATAGCAATTTAATAAGGTGGTGTGGAAAGACCCCCACGAGTGCTCTGTCTTTTCCTCTGCTCCTCCAAATAAAACATAGTCTGAGTTCCTTGGGAGCAAGCAGCAATGACCAGCCAGCGATGGAGAGGAAGACTGTGGGCTGGGAGGAGGACACGGCAGTGACTTGCCTCTCCCTCGGCAGCAGTAGGAAATGTGTGCCCGCTGGGGCTGTGCATGGGAAAAGGCAACAGCAATAAAGCAAGAGGGCCTGAATGTGTCAGGAGACGTGGGCTGGATGAAAGCCGGGGGGGGCCAAAGAGGGAATAGGGTTGGGTCTGGATTTGATGTAAGGAGAGAAGATGCGTTTTGGGGAGCGTTGGAAGCAACCGCTGCTCAGTTTTCTTACAGTCCCCTGCTTGCTGGGCTTGGAACCTGTATTGATGACTACGGCACCAATAGCTGATAGATGCTGCGGTATCTCCATCCATCAGCGGGGCCCTTGGGAACAGTAAGTTGGGAGACTGGCCAAGTTGTTAATGGTGGGAAAGGGGAGGGGGAGAAACATTTAAAGAGATGATGTATGGCATGAGAGGACTTCAGAGAGGAAGAAGGGGTGAATACAATAAACGGCTAATTAATCTTGGAGACTAGATAAAGAGAACAGTGCATATATAGGAAGAGGATGTTATTTTTAGAGGGAAGGTAGCTCTCACAAGCAAAATATTAATCCAAAGCAGGTAGCAGGACAGCATAGGAGACACAGGAGAGATCTTTCAAATACATGGGTGTAGGCAGTGCAGGTCTGAGTGCAGAGGTGAGGCTGGGTGCCGGCTCTGCTCTTCCCTCTTCTGGGTAGTCGTGCTGCACCGGGAGGATGGCAGAAGCAGAAACTGCAAAGGAAAGGACACCCATTGTTCTGTTGGTGCTGTATATGGTCCTTTTTTATTAATGTTTGCTTTGCATCGAAGACCTAAAGTAGCATGGCCATTTGAGGCAAGTGTACTAATAAGTGTTCCTTTCTTTTAAGGAAATCTATCGGTAGTGTAATAGGAGAGGAAGGGAGAGGTGAAGGGAAGGAGAGAGGAGATCCTTTTGGCCAACTTGTTCAAAGCAAAATCCTTAAAGATACTACGAGATTTCTGTATACTCGCATATATGATTTTTATCCTCTGTGGAGGAACAGTCAGGTTAAAGAGAAGGGAAGGGGTGACGTCTACCTTCCTCCCGTTTCCATTTATTCCTTAAATTATTCCCACACAGCAAGCTGATCTTGTAGTTTTGCCACTGTGAAACTGGAGCTCTGTGGCCTGTGCCTGCCCTCCTATAGCTGACAGTTGGCACATAGGAGTCGGTGGTCTCCAGGAATTGCTTTCAAATTATTACTATTTTTCACTGGGCTGTGGTCTCCTGCCACAGCAGTTCTGGCAGCCAGGAATGTGCCCTTCTTGTTGTTCTGCAGCTCTTATCTATTAGACACATTGGAAATAATTTGTCACCTCTGGTTTGTGCCTGCAATGAGAAATTCAGCCAAGGCTGAGGGAAGCCAGCCTGAGGTGGGTGGTCTGGGAAATCCTCTTTAACAGTTGGCCCTTCGGCTGAAGGGCGGAAAGGCCAGGGCATGCAGGAACACCTCCGCTTCCAGAAAAGCAGCCTCGCCACAAAGACATCGATCCTGCCACAAAGCCGCTTTGAGAAACTTGTTCAGGAAAGGGGATAGATGGGCTCCTGCCCTCACCAGGCGTCCTGCCAGCCGGCGCACTATACTGCCTGGTTCCCAAACAGGATGTTCTGTGTGTGTGTATTTTCCAGGAACACAAAGCCACGGACACGCCAGCCCCATTACAACCACGTTCTCTAACAGAACCGAGCTCATCTGGAGCCTTTCCTCACCACCCCTGGCTGCTGCATGCTGCAACGCCACCATTGGAAAGCTTTGCGGTGGGATTGCGTTATCAAATCGTCCCTCGATGTACTGTAGCTTTGCCCCTGCCAGAAACCTCCCCTGCATTAACAGCTCCCCCAGCCTCTGACCTGTTTTTAAGGGTGTCAGGAAATGCAGATTCCCCCTCCTGAAAGCAGAATAATGCCAGCAGGCTATGTGCCAGCAAGCCCCGTGCTTCACAAAGCAAGTGTTTGCACGCTCCTCCTCACCTGCAGGGCCATGCAGAGGGCTCCTTATGAGCGCTGTCACTGGAGAGGAGGGCAGGGTCTGGCCAGGACACACCGCCAG